AAAGTTCCCTGTGTTTGTGGATCAGTTGTACCTCAATTGTTTTATTTCCAAACTGTTAATGAAAACTGTAGACATGAAAGTTAAAACCCCTGTTCGGACTGTACCTCAATTGGGAGTCCACACCAAGCAAAAGAATTGTGTTAACTACTCCACTATTATGCTAGATCCAATCATCCTCAAAGAAATAGCCTCTGCTAATTGAGTTATACTCGTAATTATGACATTTTACTGATGTTCTGCTTTTGTTTACTCAATCCATTAACATTTGACAAAATAATTCTTCAGAAACTGGTTTAGGAATCAAAGGGGCTGGTCTGATACATGTTGTAGTTTACATACATGACAATTTTACAGAACACACTCATCTCTATGAAGTCCTGGCCATGTATAATACTTATGTTTTCTGGATTCCTGAATGTCCTGTGTTACTCTCAATAGCTTCTTACAACGTCTACCTCACTCTATAATGAAAAATCATCCATTCCTTGTCTGTAAGGCTCCACTTCCTCAGCAGAACTCCATTTCTGATATATTAACACTCTGGAGCTCCTTCAGCCCCTCTTTCAGAATGAGGTGTCTGTGCTATCTTCCTTAGCTGTGGATCTGTTTCCTGAACCTCAGTTCACGAAGACAAGCCAAACACCTCCTTTGAATTATTCTTGTTCGAAGTAAATAAAGAAATTTTAACCAGAGCTTTAAAAATGTATGAACTGTCAACATCTAACTGTACTCATCAAATCCTTCATAAACTTACAGGTGGACACAGGCAAACAAATCATTGATGGTTGCGGGGTCGGAGGGGGGGGGGGGAAGAAAAGGTTTAAGAATTTCAGTTTACAGAATTGCTTGAGATGATCGTTTTGCTTCCTACGGTTTTCTGTTCTGCAATCTCTCTTTTCACTTTGTAGGAGGCACAGGGCAATTGATACTGTAACTACAGAGTCTCTTCATTGCTGGGTAATGAAACAGCTCACAGCAATTGGTCATAATTCTCAAACCAATCTGCCAGCTTTTTGTTCACATCACCTTAGTGCCAGCCTATTGACCAGCAACCTCCCCACTCCTTTCAACAAAGTAGCATTGTGACAGCTTACACTGAGTCTAAGTAACTTGCTTTTTAAAACGTGCAGCAACATCTTACTCAGTCTTCTGTTGTAAAACAATCCTTTTCCCAATCCAGAAAAATGATGGGACTTTACAGAATCCCCTTTTGAGAACAAACCACCTTCACAGGCACTGGAAGTACAAATTCTCATGCAGTAAACTAAAGACTGAGAATTGGCATGTCCACAATGTGTGTCATCAGCAAAGTGCCCAAAGAAACTGAAATAAAACAACACATTGAAGTCTGTGGTCCAAACTGGTACTGTGTTTTGCTGTTTTGTCCACTCTGTTTAAAAAGAGAGTCTTTCCCTCTCTCTATAGGGACCCAGTTTAAACAGGGACACTCTCACTGTCATAGATCCTGTTTAAACAGAAAAACTCTCTCTCAGGGACCCTGTTTAAAGAGGGAGTCTCTCTTTCTCTGGGACCCTGTTTAAAGAGGGAGTCTCTCTCTCTCTGTCAGGGACCCTGTTTAAAGAGGGGTCTCTCTCTCTCTGTCAGGGGCTTTGTTTAAAGAGAGAGTCTCTTTCTCTAACAAGGACCCTGTTTAAAGAGGGACCTTCATGGAGAAAGATCCTATCCAAAAGGAAAAAGATTTTCCCTCTCCCTCTCCCGTGCCCCAATCCAAACTAACTGTTGATCATTTTAATTAGGAGTGGACAGGGGGCAGTGACCTGGACCCCCATACACAAGCTGACGTACCTCAGGCTCTGTGAGCGTGGGACATCAGAGCACTCGATAGGTTGTAAATCCCAGCTTTGGTTTTAGATTAGCAATGCAACCTGGACACTTTTTTTAAACCATCATTTACAAGCACTGTGCTTGCAATAAATAGGTTTTCTTTAATCATGGAGAATTTTAAAAAAAAAAAACCTTGCTGCATATATTCTTGTAACTGGAAATAGACTAATTAGGTAGAATTGGAGGCTTTCAGTAGTTTGATGAAATTTTCACGTGTGACTGAACTGGATATCCAGTCCATGATCCCGGTGAGTCGTGACAAATGTCATTTATGTGGAATCATTCAACAATAACAATCATCAGAAAGTCAAGCATCTTTGGAAAGGAGGCAAGCAAAGAGAGGCACTCGATAAGATTTGTGGCTTTTAGTGGTAGGGAGACCTGGAGATGCGTGTCTCCATGACACTCTGTGTCACAGAGGACTTCTAACGTGTGCAGTGGGCAATTCTCTCTCTCGCTCCTGAAAAAGTAAGAAATCTTAAAAGCACAACCAGTTGAAAATATCCATCTCTTTCTCCCAGTGAAGTACTTATGTTGCCCTGAGGAAAATCCCAAATATCACCTCACAAAGCCTGGTAATGATATCCAAACACCCAGGTCTAACCTATTGACTGCCTGAACTGGTCAGGTCTGAAAATTTTTCATCGTTTTTGCCCGTGGTCAGCATTTCAACTGTGTCAACAGAAATCTCGGGCAAAGAGATGTCATCCCGTTTTTATCCTCTCAGCTCAAACCGTTGGCTGACGGGGTATTTCCATTGTTCTCCCATTTATTGATAAAAAACTCATCCCCACAGTTTCCAATCACAGAGTTACAGTGTAGTTCCTGAGGATAGCTTCGTTGTTCACCAGCTTTACCCAATTTTCAGGCTCCGGCCCCCTATACCCCACCTCCCTGT